TTGAAGTCTTTCACTCTCCTATGAAACAGCATGTAGTATTTTACCCATGTAAATATGTATAAGATTTTTCAAGATATCTGCAGGGAATATTCCATAAATAAAGTAAGCTTTCCCCTTGGCATTCCACTAGTTTACAATTTAATTTTTACTGACACTCCACCAGTCCTATTATTAGTTTCACAAAATGACAGTGGAATAATCCTGTGTTAATTAAACAGAGTGACTGAATTCCCTCAATCATCTCCTTGGCTTTTTAAGGCAGTAATCATGTGTTTTCTATGAAAACATGTCCTAGGAAAAGAGTTTGATATACCGGCAAAGTTGTGGGTTATGTGCACCAGTTTATGCAGCAAAAAAACTGCACGTAAGGGCAATCACACAATGGCTTTTCCTCTTCTGAGGACTATCTTTTGCGTGACTGGTTGCACAACAGATTTTCCAACTAGTGCATAAGCAATTGTACAACAGAGTTCCTGCCAGGAATAGGAAATGCTTCTATGATTACTCTTCTGTGATTGTGTAAGCATACAGGACTGTGTCTGAAATAAACATTTTTTTGATCAGATGGTGCCTGCAAAAGACTCTAAAGTATTCCCTGTAAAGTTCACTGAAAAAACAATACAACTTTATGTCAAGTGTTTCTAAATTATATTACAACCTAAATAATTCGAATAGCAGTGCGCAAATCTGACAAAATAATTTTCACGGTAGAAACCTGTTGTGAGGAATCTACTGTAACGCACTGCTCTAATGAAATTATTGGGACAGCATCTTCCTAAAAAAAACTTTTCATACTTTTGTCTATAAATACATGGAAGACAAAATGTGTTTGGATGCACGGACACATGCATTTCTTTACTTGGACAAGAATGCTTATCTACGGCATGTATTTAAAAGCATATTCTAATGCTGTGCCTTTTCTAACATCTAGGCAGGGTGATCATTACTTCTGCTAAATATAAATGAAAGCATCAAATGGTTCTAAAGTAGTAATCTACTACCATTTTCTCAAGTGTATAAAAGCGTGTGAAGAAATTCAGAGGAAAAAGCATGTCACTTGTTCTGTGTGTGGGAGGAGGGAATACTGTGCCCAGGAATATCCTGTACTTTCTAAGAAAAAGTAGAAAAGACATATATACTCCTAATTACTTCACAGGGGATTTGCTTTCAAATGAGCATGTGAGGAAAGGGTGCATGTATCATGTAAAACTACAGCACAATGACTTCAAGATTGGTCCTTTGCTGTTAATGCACCTATTCCAAAGGTGCCTTCTTTCAGATGTGGCGATAGTTGACATTTTTTTCTGTCCAGAAAGCTGATACAGTAAACATCCCTTTATAATTAATATTGGAGAAACACAGGATTTGTTGCTGTGACAAGCAGGGTGTGTATGTGTGTGAGAATAATTTCTTTTAAATAATTTGGGGCAATATCTGTGTATAGCTAATAAATGTGCAGTTAGTATATAGTTACCGTCTAATGGACATGGCCATCCCCATTATCTTTTGTCTCCAGTTGTCTTTTAAATATGCACTTGGCACGATTGAGTGTACTGCTACTGCAAAGTGCCACTGAATCTTTACTTCAGTAGCCTTGAGGTAGCTGTGGTTTAGGAGTCTGGCAATTTGGATGCAATGAGATGTCGGTAGCACTTAAGTATGAAGGCGCTTAAAGATGTACAGTGCTCTACATGGGGATAATTATACACAGAGAGGGGATGTGAAGATGTAGACACTGCTCAGCAGTGCTCATTGACTAGTGCAGATACTCATGACAGCTTCTGTCACCCTCCCAGCTCTGACTTCACTACTATTGCTCTTTACAGACTCCTTGAGGTGAGATTTTATATTGGAGTTTTTGATTTAGCAAGGATGCATATGAGTGTTTGTGTGTAAACGAGAAAGAGAGAGAGAACGAGAGGGCACTTTCTGACTTGTATTTTCAATAATCTAGAGGTGGTGCAATAAGGACTAGCCTTGATTATATATTTGTATGACTGTTTTTAAACCACGTTTAATGAAATAAGTGTTTTTTCAGAGAAAAGAGGGTCCTACTTGTATCCTGTAACATGTGTTAATTTCCTTTTTTATTATTAAAACAATTGAACTGTAAGTGGCATGCTCAAGTTCAGGAATACAGTTGAAATTTCAGGCCCAGGTCTACTGGAGGTGACATTCTGAGTCCCAGGGGAAAAGGCCAACTGGCTTTCATGAATGCATAAATTATAATACGACGGCTGTGGTCTTCTAAGCAGCAGCACCATCAGCAAAGACAGATGCTTGCAAGGTATCTGGTGAAAAGATAGCAATACTTAATTTGGTGATGGGGGGAGCAAAGGATGACACGGGCAAGCAAAATGATTGCGGAAACTCTGAGGACAAGGAAAGCTTAGCAGATGGGAAGACAGAGCACAAAAGAAGACAGAAGTCCAAAGACTATCCACAGCTAACTATAATGATCTTATGAAAAAAATGAGGTAATTTTTAAATATTGATTTAATGTGCACGATGCCACAACACAGAATGTTCTTCTTGTCTGTAAACTCAGCTTAACAGGCCAGGGACAAGGAAGTCTAAACAAAAGTGTTCTTTCAAAAACACTTTAAAACTATTGTTTACCGCAGTAGCTACTGAATATATATCTCAACTGAAAAATGTCTGTTAAGTAAATTACTTGTGTATAGGAATGTGCTTTAGTAATGACTGCAAAAAAAATACACATTGATTGCATGTATATAATAGGAAAAGTAGATACATGGGCTGTAGATAAGTCATTTTATTTATTAAAATATTTTTAAAAGATGGGCTGTTACAGGGTGTGATGTTGCTTAGCTCTAGCATTATAAATGCATGCTTAGTATTTTTGCTTGTTTACTGACTCTAAAGAATGACTGGGTGCATCACTGCTTGCAACCAAAATTTACATCTTAATTAGAATCTACGTTTAGCAATATAGGCAGTTTAATACTGCTGATAATTAAGCTTCCACTACTTCTTTTTGCTATATAGTTTTTTCGTATTAAAAATAGGTCTATTTTTCTTCAAGCATAGGTAGGACAGTTGCAGATGGCCATGGCATAAGTATATTACACACTAGAAGTTGTTCAGCAAGGCAGAGATGCAAACATGTCCATTGCACTTATATATATTTGTCTTCTCTTCTGTCATTTTACTTTGGTAAAAGCCGTCAAATAGATTTGGAGACAGCTGTTGTGTTCCCATTTGTGAATGGCATTAATGCATTCTGAGGGTGAGCACTGATTTGTTTTGATCTAAAAGATTATGCCATTTGCATCACGGAGTGCTTCACTCAGGGGGAAAAATGTACAAGCAGCACAGCTGAATTAGTGAAAAAAGTGCCTTCTGTGATTATAGTAATTATTTTATCACCATCTATAGAAGCTATTTATATTCAGTAGGTAGGTGTATATCACTACCATTTAAATATGTGAAATTAACAAAAATGTAGTTGGATAAAGTTGTGCTGTATTTTATTCTTGTGGCACCTTGTAAAATGTTTGCTGCTCATCTGAAGACTGGCATCTATTTATTTGCATTAAATGGAATTGTTTGGTGAGGGAGGTCAGCAGCTTTGATATGCCGTGGCTACGGGTGGGGAACGAGGGGGCTGGATAATTTTCCAGGCAGGGAGGCAGATCATCAATGTATTTGCATCCATCCTTGGAAGAGATTATTGAGGGTTTTGTGCACATCTGCAACTAAGGCAAGTATGGTTACACCACAGCATTAAAGATTTAAGCAGACACAACTTGATCCAACGTATGTTTATTTAGAATTGTAAACCCTGATTTCAGTGGGATTTATACCTAAGGTACTGTACAGAGCATTGAAACCTTGGGCTGATCCTACTGTATTAAGGGATAGACCTAAGTTTCCCTGCAATTAATAGGATATCAAGTCAGTGCTAGCAGTACTAAAGATATTGATCAATAAGATCTTTTTTGGTTGTTCTTTCAGGGAGAGGCAAGTAAAATATGCTTGCTCTTACATGCATCACTGTTTGCAGGCATGTATCTCAAGAGGTGCATGTTCCTGTTTCTGCATGAATGGGTTTAAAGTACACATTTGTTTCTTTTTAGTTCCTTGTCATGCTTTTTTCAAGAGGGTGATGCAAATACAAACACTGCTGGTCTTACATGTTTACAAAACTCTGCCGTTCAAAACTAGCACAGAAATCCCTTAACCCAGTTCTTAAGACATGTAAAGTAGAAGGTAGACAAATGAAATCAGGGACGCAAAAGAAGCAGGAAGTTAACAGTCCAGTCCTGTGTGTTTATTCAGGGGTGTTCAGCCTTTCAATCGACGGGCAAGCTCAACATCTGAGCGAATCAGACTTATTTCTGAGTAAGCGCCGATTGATCCAATCCCAACTCAATTCACTTGGGGCTCCCCTTCTTGGAAAGTATGCCTTTTCGACTCCAGGGTCCGAATCCACCTCTGACCTGGGGGGAAAAAAACAACCCGCTGTACTCTGAGCGATCGTCCTAAAACTGGCCAGCTAGGTACAATCGTGGTTAATCTCTACTAAAACGAAACGGACAATGCAGCAGCCAAACGCGAATGGGAAAAAGGAACACAAAACCCACAAGAGCAGCAAAAAACTTATCCCAGACGAGGCGATCCTCCCCCCCCAAAAAATACAACTCCTTCCTCCCCAAATGCATTCTGACGTGCAGAAAGCACTGATTAGAACTAGCTGTCCTAAGAGCTACCTCTCTTTAAAAAACAAAAAAACCACGCTGCATCGTTTCGATCTGTCGTGTGCATGCTCAAATGCTGCTCTTCCTTCTTTCTTTTCTTTCCTTCCTTCTCTCTCTCTCTCTGCGCTCGCCGACCCGCTCGCGTCCCCCCTGCCCGCCCCCTCCGCCCATCTCTCTCTCTCTCTCTCTACCTGCCGAGCTCCGCTCAATCTGTGCAGCCCCGGCGTCCTGGGCGCCGCTGATTGGCCGCCGCCCTATCCAATCGGGGCTCCGGCTGGGCCAGTGGGACCTGCATATGTAAAGCTCTACTTCATATTTATAAGCTCCAACCGGGGGCTTTAAGTCCTTGATTAGGAGCGTGCGAGAGAGCGTTTGGTCCCAACTGGCTGCGCCTATAGGCTTGTCACCGGGAGAACATTTTGTGTTAATTGCGCCGCGCGCCGTGTCAAGGAAAACTTTGATTTATAGCTGGGGACGCGCAAATAATGGTGGCCGAGCGCACATGGATCCGGTAGAACTTTGCCTTCCTGAATCTTTTTCCTTGCACTACGAAGAAGAGTAGGTACCTTTCTTCTTATTTCCCCCCCACACACTTCACTGCCTTTCCTTTCCATACCCCCCCTTCCCGTTTTCTCCCTCTCCCCCTTCCCCAAATTGAAGCGAGGGGGGGTCGGTCCCCAGCTAAGATAAAGGCTCATACGGCTGCACCCAGTGTTAGTTTAACGCGGTGTCAGGTAATGCCTTCTGGCGTCTGCGTGCATGCCGGGGGGGGGGCTGGCTGGCTGTTGTGTGTCTGTTTTGTGTCCCTTTTGTGCCGGTCTTTATCTGTTAGTTCAGTACTAAGTGGGAGGATTGTTTCTCTCCCCTCCAAAGGGCTACCTTTGGAGTTGCGAGCGGTGGGGGCTGTCAGTGGAAACAGCTGTGTGAGTGACAAGTCGCTACTTATCCAGGTGCTAAGAATAGGAACTTGGCACCAGCGCAGAGTGAATTGTTCAAATAAACCATTCAAAAAGGCACATCCTTCTTCTCCCCCCCCTTCTTAATCCCACCCCACCGGGCCAACTCCCGACCCCGTTTCCAAAGAAGTTTAGGGTTAGGGTCCCTTCGAAAACCCGATTTAGATATTGAGGGTCTTTTTCCCAGAACGGGAGATATTTTTTGCTCTTGTCTGATTCTCTGCCTGCCCAGGCAAGGGGGGGGGGGGGGGGGGGAGGGGCACAACATTTTTAGT